TGAGAAATCGCTGTCATTGCCGGTTTGCTTTGCTCTTCTCTGTCATCTACACCGGCTGCATTGACCATGGACCTGCAATGGGAAATGCATTAGAGGTTTTGTCGGGAGCGCTTAGTTTTGTTACGGAGGTGTAATCGGACAGATTATTCTTTTACACTTCCCTTGATTAGAATGCTTAAGTGTGGTTTGCATCTCCTCCATGTGAATTTATTTTAATGGTTCGTTTATAGTTTGTGAATAAAGATTTTCTACAATTTCTAGCATAATATGTAATACATAGTATTTTTATGCTAGCATTAATCTTCTTCTGCTTCACAAAAATTTATAAATTAGGGTATTAAGATTATTATTATTTTTAGTACCAAAAATCTTTCTTAGACTAACATCTGCAGATCAGGGCGGTATTATGATCATTTTAAACCCACCTCAGCTGGGTGTGGACGCAGTATTATCTTTTTGGTGCCATTTATTTCCTTTTTAACAATCGTAGCTCACCAAATGCAAAAATATGCCTGCCAAGGCAGTAATTTTTTGTGGACTGCTGCCTCTTCTTGTTTTTTACCCGATTTAGGTGTTTTTCTCCTTTGTGTTTTTCTATTTCTCTTATTCTTTTGCTATCTTGGCCCCTTTTTGTTTGCTCTGTTTTGTGTCAAACCACATTGGGCCACAAAACAGAAGTCAGAGCCATATTCCGGCACAAGGTCCTTGGGTCGCCAACGCGCTGAGCTGCTAAGCGAAAACTTTATGCACCAAATTGTTTTCACCTGCTGTCCCAAATTTATAACACCTCACCCTCGCCGGTCCTCTTCTCGTTTTATTTTTATTTGTATAATCCTTTCGGTTATGGGCCACGCCATCCGGACACCAGGACACCAGGACACCCGCACCCTTTTTGTGGGGCCGAGTAACTTTTGGGGATGACAGAAACCAGCATTGGAATTTGCGAGCCGGCGCAGGGATTAAGCGAAAGACAAAAACCGGAGGCGACTCTGAAATGCGGATTCCACTGCTCACTGTTCACTGTTCACTGTTCACTGCTCACAATGCCGTACCGAAAAATCGCCGGCACAGTGGGCCCGATTTCGACTTCAAGTGCTGCAGGGTTTCTCGGCCTCTCCAGTTTATGGCTGCGCATCTCTTACTTTGCATAATGTTGTTAAGCAATTTTTACGACACCAGACTGAGGGGTCACTAATAATGGCCAGCACACTTGTTGTGCCCGTCGGCTACTCACGCAAACACTTTTGAATGACCCTCATTAAACGACCAGAAATTATATTAAATTTGCCAAGAACAAAACGGCCAGGCAGCGCAGTGGCGAAAAAATCTTTTTGCTGCATAAAAAAGTTGTAAATATTTTTATGCCTGCATTAATATGCAACGCCAACCACTGTGGGGGTCGTCATGGGAAAATGGGTGGGGCAAGATGGTTGGGGCTCCTTCCTGGCTTGCTGTCGCTGCTAATACCACCGCTAATAAAATCTTACTGCCGCAGTAGCGTCGGCCTCCTCCAGATTCAGATTCAGAATTCAGATTCGGCTTCAGCTTGGCAGCCATGAAGCACAGCTGTGTGCAGTCATTTTTACTGCTGCACTGCAAAGGCATAGAAAGGCGGCAGTATAATAGGATGGCCCTCCTTTCTGGGGGCGGAACAGCCCCAAACAAGGCGTGGCCAGAGCCAAAAGGCCAAAGTGTTTAAGTGCCCAAACTTTGTTATTAGATTGCCGGCGGCCACTAGTTCAACAGTGATCTTTGGCCGGAAATGAAGTGCACAGTTATTCAATCCACGCACTAAACTTATTATAAATCAGTTTTTGCTACTAAAAGTTTAATTGCATTGTACAAAATTAAAACAAAGTTCTAGCTAAGAAAGTAATTAAGAATAATGCCTTTTATTACCTTTTAGTATAAATGCTTTAAGAATTTATAAAATAATATTTTGAAGATTAAGACATTAAAATATATAATTAAAATATTTAAATTAACCAAATTAATTTATTTCTAAGTATTGTTAGAAATGAATATACTTGTTTAAAAATCAAAAAATATTCTATTTAATTTATATATTGTTAGTAAAGTTCCTAAATTTATCCTTAAGTAAATAGCTTTTTTTCGTAGCCATAATAGCATATTTAATTAAATGGAGATGAATAAAATTCATTTTTACTTTCAGATAACTAAATTTTAAACGTTTGGGACATAGTTTTCTGGTTCGATGTAGCCTACACTTCATATTTTAATTATTTTCTCATATTTTATTTGTATTTCGCAATGGAATTTAATTGTTTGATAGATATCCATTTCGACAAATAACGTTCGATTTTCTTATCGGCCACAAATAACTCCAACTCAGAACTCATTTTGATGACCAGATCAAGAACCTGCTGCTTCCGTCACTTTCAAGCATGTCACTTCTGCCGCTTTGCTGTCTGAGCTCCGCTCATTTCTTGCCATATGAATATGGGGAAACAGCATTGTGCAGATTGCAAATATTATAATATTCCCACACAGATGCCCTCTGACAGCTCAAGAGTCGGTGCCTGAATTCCTGTCTATCCATACCGACTGTATGCAAAGCAATATTCTCGGTGGCCCGCCTCTTCGGATCACATCGTACTCCTTGCTTTGTTTGGGCTGTCTGTCTAACTGTCAGTTCAGTTAGCTTTTGTTGGTAATTATTCAGATTTTGTTTGCGTTTCATGCATAAATAAATCACCGAAAATTGCGACTCAAAACTATAAATGCCAAGTCATACATCTGTCACTATTCGGAGAGTGGAGATGGTTGTGCTGTTGGATAATATTTTCGGACCGGCACCGGCACTAAAATGCAGCTGCCTCTCATTAGTACTCAGTCGCTATACCGCGTTCCCTTACTCTAATTTAATCAAGTTGAATGGTAAAAGAAATTACGCTTTCTTTTTTCGGTGGGTGCTCCAAAATATTCAACAACAAAAAATGTAAGGGAATGGAAAATTACCATGGCTAACAACATTTGGGGCCGCGCGTCCTTTATGGAAATTGCGGCCAAATTAGTGAGTCAAGGAAAAAGGAATCCCAGTACAGGTAAAGGAAAACAGACACTTAGGTGGCAACTAAGACGGCTTTGGCTTTGGCCAGACGAGATGACTCCGGGGATATTACTTAACCGCCGGGCAAGTGGCCTCACATAAAGATCCATTAGATGCTTAAGCTAAGTGGTTAAGCGACAACATCAGTGGCCCCATCATATTTTAATTTGCATTCAAATTAAATGGCATATCAACGAAAACAAAACGTGTTTTTGGTCACTTTTCTGTAAAGACGATTTTTGGGAGATTTAGAAAGGGGTTACATCACAAAAATGACAAAAAATCGATTCGAAATTACAAACCAATTTTTTAACGCAAAGTTTTAGAGACTAAAGCCCCAATACTTTAAAGATATTCCATTTTGAAATCGAATGTTTGCAAGAAAAGTTATGGAATTAAAACTGAAGGTTTTTGGTACCTTTTTGAAAATTATTTGTTTCGGAATTTAATTAAGAAGTTATTTCGTAAAAATATCACCCCAAACTTCCAATTCAAATTTTAAATGCAAATTTTTAGAGGCTTAAGCCACAAAAGTTTAATGATATACAACTTTGCGTGAAAGAAAAGTTATGGATTTAGAACTGCAGGTTTTTGGTCACTTTTCTGCAAAGACGATTTTTTCGGAAATTTAGAACCGATTTTACAAACCAATTTTTAAACGCAGAGTTTTAGCTTTTAAGCTTGTTTCTTACCCAGTGAATTTAATTTATTATTATTGCTTGTATTTATAATTAAGATTTCCAGTAGCTTAGTAAATGGAGTGAGACTACAAATAGTTTCATTCTGACTGTCTTCAATTATTTGAAAATAAATGCGATTCCGTAATGATAAGAGACGTATGCCTCGATGAACTTGATGATTTGATTAAAAGTTACCGCAAAAGTGCTTTCCCCGCTTAACCCGAAAGTCATTAGAGGTTTCCATTTAATTCCCTAATCCACAACATCCTTTTCTTCCGCCCCCTCACACGATTGCGTGTGCAAATGGGCCCGATCTCGCTCCATACTCTCCATTTTCCATTTTCCACTTTCCACCGACTCCGATATAATCCCCATAGCGCGCTTTTCTTACGACCCAATCCACATCGTTCCGGCCCCATAGTCGACTGTCATCAACGACGTCAAAAGCGCTGCCCGCTGAGCCAACAATTAACAATTAAAACCCCAAAGCGCACAACTCAATTTTGCAATACACACAGAGAGCAGAGCGTCGACTGGGGCAAACACTGCAATGGCAATTTCATCCATATATACATATATATATATATTCCACAGATAGCTGGGGAAAGATAAGGGTAACCCACAACAACAATAAGCCAGCACCAATGGGCACTGCCACGGCTAAGTTCTCTGTGTGCTCGTCGCACTTACAACTAAAAACTTGTTACGTATTTAATTGCAATTAAAAAGTTGTTTTGTAGTTACGAGTGTTGGTGCTCTTGGCTTTTCTTGGTGGGTGGCTGGCTGACTCGCTGGCTGGCTGACTCGCTGGCTGGCTGGCTGCCGTTGTTTTGTCTGACAGCCAACAACAGGATGGCTTCGAAATTGTCTCCAATAACAAGACCAGAACGAGAGCCAAAACCAAAACCCCAAAGACTCTGGAGCTGGGGATGAAGTCATTACAAGGCGAAATGAAAATGCGTGGAAAAGAAGCCAAAAGGGTTTTACGCTTAATGACTTTCATGGTGTTTCGGTGCTTTCGGATAAAGGAGCCAAAAATCCCATCGCCTGAATCCCACTTCTCCACTCTCCTCTGATTTCAACGATAGCACTCATTAGAGTTTGGCGATTTTTGGCTTAAAACTTTGGCCATAACAATTGGCCATGGCCATCATCGCGATTTTGACACGAAACACGGAGCCATTGGGAATTTCACATCCAAATGGGAGGCAAATTGTCTGCTCTTTGGCCTCGTAAACAAATTGCTTTTATTTGATTTGATTTAGTTTTATTTAGAAAAGCATTTGAGCTTAAGAAATTTAAGGTAGTGATTTTTCTTTCATTTTTTTCATTTTATATGGAAAATATTCTTAATAAGACTTGATTAAACAAGTTAATTTGATAAGTTAGTAAGCAATATTTGTCTTTAGTTTACATGAAATGGTAATGGTAATGGAAATGGAAATGGAAATAGTAATGAAACAATGTTAAGTTGTCTAATGTGTATCTTTTAGATCATGGCTTTCTTCTCTTATGTAAAGTGATGCGTTGACTATAGTCTGCTTGGCAGAATGAAATAATGCTTAACCAAAGAAATCGAAGTTTTGCTGCTGCTGTTGTTGCTGCTGTTGACCTCCGCCGCCACCTTGCTGCTGTTGCTGTTGCTCCTGGAAAAACTCAACACTGCCACCGAAGGGACCTCTAAAGATTACACCCTGCTCCTGCTGCTGCTGCTGCTGCCCACCGCCGAAGTTACTCTGCTGCTGCTGTTGTTGTTGCTGACCTTGTTCAAATCGCTCAAAATCCCGAATCAGTTCTCCAAAAAACTGACCCGTTGCCACGGCGAAAAAGGCCACAAGCACAATAATCTAATGATATACCAGAATTAATAGATTTAAATTAAAGTTAGGATACGCTCAAAATTATTGGGAATTTTTATATAAAAAAATTAATTGTTATGAATTCCATAAGAATGTCACAAAGCAAATACAAGTATATACTTTTTATAATAGATTAATAAATAATTTTGATTCAAATGACACTGTTAATGTTATGTAATATATAGATAAAGTTTGTGCTTTCGCATGCAGCCATTAAAATAATTATTAAAATTCCCAGTATTCCGAGTTTAATTAACCAAACTCACCAGGAATTTCATTTTGAATTTTCGGTTTTATTCCTCTAGCTAACAATCTTAGTTGAAAGTCTAAAATGAACTGTTTGATTTTTGTCTGCTGATCGCGTGTATTTATCCGATTTTTGTTTGCCTTTTTGACACTCAAAACTGGTTGGACACGGACAGATCACAGCTCGGACTTCCCTTTTGCTCTGATCATAGACATTTGCGTTCAAAGGGGCTTTTTTCTGTTGGCGAAAAATTTCAAGTATGGTTGTCAACCTTTCTGGAGCTGACGGGCCCACTAAAATACAGGTTTTCAATCTAGCTCTCACTGGCATATGCTCTTTGTTAATCAAATTAATTGAATTATTATCATTAGAATGTTTACGAAAATCATGAATTCTTAATTTTTGCATGAATCATTGGGTACTATCGTTAAGGGTTATTAGAAAAAAAAATAACATCTGAATAAAAAACCTTAGTAAAGCCGTTACTGCTTAATCTTTTCAACTCATGAGAGTTTTGATTGAAGAAAATTCTTTAAAAAATACTAATACACTGTTTCTTAAGATATTCTTTAATTAATTTAATGACGAAATAACTTTAGAAGAAGCCTCCTTGCTGCTGCTGCTGTTGCTGCTCGAAACCTCCGAATCCTCCACCAAAGCTTTCTTGTTGCTGTTGCTGTTGCTGCTCGAAACCTCCGCCGAATCCTCCACCGAAGCCTTCTTGCTGCTGTTGCTGTTGGCCACCAAATCCTCCGAATCCTCCAAATCCTCCAAATCCTTCTCCAAGTCCGAATTGTGGCAGAGCGGAGGCAATTGCAATGAAGGCCACAAAAACGATCACCTATAGTGGTATTAAAAATAAATATTTTAAAAAATAGTCCTTAATCCTGTGAGACAGTCCTGCGTACAGGAAGCGTAACTTACCAAAAACTTCATGATGTATTCAAAATTAAATTCGATCTTTAAAAATATCCAGAAGGATTGGAACGCTGCGGCGTTGCACTTGATACTGTGCCCTTTTCGGCAAGTCTTTCTCTATTTATACAATTTTTTTTAGTCGTCTGAAGATCGAATTTCATAGGTTCTTTACCCGCATTGGAAAAAACTTGTCCCCAGACACTGGCCCAGACATGGGGGCTTTCCTCTTATTCTCTTTTCTCTTTTAATCTGGTTTTGAATTTGTTTTGGTTTTTGGCTGGTTTTTGTTTTCTTCGTTTTTTTTTTTGTTTTGTTTGGGTGAGCAGGCGCCAAGTGCGTGGCTTTCGATTTGAATTTTAATAGTTTGCTAATTTACATTTAGGTAGTTTTTTTTTAATTTATGACTAAGCTGACGCATGTTTCTGTGAATCTCTATTTAAACAGCTAAATTTGTATTTATATTTAATAATCAGCAGCATATACTTTTAATTTTTTATGCTTGATAATTATTTATTATTAATTAACAGCTCAGTGAACTAGATTTGCAAAACACAATAAGTCCACGTGATTTGAGATACTGATTATATATTCGGAAACAAATGCAAATGAATTCCAGCGAAAAACATATTTTTCAATTCGGTTACATTTTTACAAAGATAAACAAAATCGAATGGCATAATCAAATCAAACTTGGTCTTTTTGTTGGCGTTGATTTCAAGAGTTGTCCAATCGGAGCAAACGGAGCTTACTCAATAGATAAGTGCTTCGAAGGGGAATCACCTGCAGCGTTCAACGGCGAATAGGGAATACTTGAGACCCTGGAAATTTGTCCTTAGCTCGACAAGGGTGAACTGAAATTGCATTTGGTGTGCGGCGCCAGGGGCGATCGAGTTTGGCAATACGTGCTGCCTTTAACTTGGCCCCTAACCCTGCCAACCCGAAAACAGGGGGACACGAAACACGACGACACGGTGTCTTTTGGCATACTTCAGTGGAGCGCATAAAGCTCTAAATGAATTTATTTGGCTCATTTAAAGCAGCTAATTTATTTTTATTTTCATTGAATTTGTGTTTAGTCGTTGGTAAGTAAGCTGTTTAGTGTGGAGACTTGTGACTTTATCCGCCCGAAGTTGTAGTTTCAGCTAAGTCCGCTGGCTTAAATCAGGAGAACCCTGTACTTCGAATAATCCACTATTTCAAGCCTAATCACAGAGAAGTAGCCTGTGGAAATGTGCAGTAATTTTGGTAAAATGTCTAATGAACCCTTTTCGGCAGTCCTGAGGGCCCACAAAATTGCATAGCTCTGGGGAAACACTCTGGGGCAACGTCTTCGTCGCGTGTCAAAAATGCAGCACTCAACGCTCTTTGACTCCTTTGATGGTGGCCCAACACGACACCCTTCGCCGTGCCCTCAAATTTGTTCAAATTCATTTCAATTACCGTCAATTTTCAATAATTTTGTTCAAATTATATTCCATTAGGTTCAAAGCCCAAAAAACACTTTGCATGAATATAATTAGACTGTGCTCGCAACGCAAATTTTTAAGCTATTCTTTACTCTCTTAAACTTAATTCTGTTTAGTATATAATTGAATATCTTGCGACTCCGATTCGAAAGTCTTGAAAACTAGATTCAAAACTAAGCACTACACTTACTTTAAAATTTTAGATTTATAATACAAGAAGTATTATGATGGAACAGCTGCTTAATATAATGAATGTTTGAAGTTTTAGTCCATTAAATTGCATTAGAACTAGTTTTAGAATAAAAACTAATTGTGGTTTATAAGCGGCTAATTCTTATTTATTTAAAAAACAAAGTTAAATATAAAAAAAGTAAATATAAAAAAAAGTTAAAAATAGTTTCATTGCTTTAAGATATTTTAAGGAAAGATATATTTTCTAATTTTTTCGAGTACATTACATTTACATTACAAAATAAATTGTAGTACATGCCTATAAATAAATTATTATGTCATCAATTTAGAGAAGTTACCAAATGCTGACAAAGTTTATACGTAAATTAAGATAGTAATACCCTACCCTTTTTTGGGCCAACCTGGCAAGGTTTTCTCGGATCCAACTACGTTTAATTTTAAACTTTTTGCGCCAGTAACTTCGTTTGACTTTTTTGGCACCCCCGTCGACGCAGTGTCTAAGGTTATTAGGGTGGCTGGCAATGCATTAGCCCAGTCAGTATTTTATGCCCAACCAGCAGGTGAGTGGAGTTTTGGGGGGCTGGTGTGTGTCTCCAGCCGTATGAATTTCACATGCTTAAGCCGCAAACTTATGTGCGCGCACAGCTTGAAATCCACGCTCACGTAAACTTAACTGGAAACTAAACCCGAATGAAATGGAATTCCGAAGAGGAAGATGTCGTCTCTTCCGTTTTTGGGTGTGCTGGGAACTTTTGCCAACATGTTAGCAGGGACTTAGAACTTAGAACTCGGCACTCAACAATTTTTGAGCCAAGTCAATGAGCAATTGACTGCCACGCACCACCGCCACCTGCCTATACATATATGTATATGGATATGGTATATATTTGGGAAACTTCCTTGCACTCTCCACGCATTTGCATATTTTTCCGCAAATATGTTTTAATATGGGTTAGTAAAGTTTCCCACTGCACTCGCTTCCCTTCTTTTGATGGCGGGCGAAGTTTTCTTCTTCTGCCTTTTTGGCCCCCTATTTTTCCTTCCTTCGGATTTTTGCTAAGTGCACTTCCGTCAGCGACGCGAAGAAAACTGAATTTTACTTTATGATAGATGTTTGTGCGGGAGCATTTTCAAAACCAGGCTTGACGGAGATTTTCAAAAGCTTTGATTTGATTTTTATAATCCCAATCAAGAATGTATTTTCATAATTTTAGCTAGAAAGCTCTTGGCTTACGGTTCTTAGTTGTTTGCTGTATGTAACAAATTCAATACAAACTTGAATTCAATATATTATTGAGTATCGGTAAAAATAAGTTTAAATGGCTTCATAAATCAATTAAAATTAAATTATTTGTGCAGTTCACAGAGAAAACTTCGGATATATTATTTGTATTATATTAAATTAAATTAAATGAATTTAAATTGTAAATCAAGATGAATGGAGACTATTAACAAATTCTTTTTTTTTGTTAGGATTTTATTATCCAGGGAATAACGATTAAAAAGATTGCGCCATTTTTTAATTGCTCCATTTTAGAACATATACAACTTATAATAAAGATTTTCAAGCCTTTTTAACATAGCATTTGAAATAAAAATATCATTTATCATAGATTATTTGGAAATTAGCAACAAAAATACTTGTTACCTTTATCATAATTTTCAAGAAAATTACACTTTTAAAATGTTTTACAACTGAACTTAAGATAAGTTGTTTTAATTCGTTTTTTGTGGCACTTCATCAGGATATCCTTATTTGCACATATGCACTTACATTATCCTCGTCCTACTCGCTAATTGTATTTCTTCACCTGAGCAAACTTTGGCCTTTAATCCCTTCCGCCTTGCGACCAACAAAAGCGGCCCGCACTTTGGGCCGCACTCGAAGATTATGTCGCCTTGGTTTCGCTTAAGTTGAGCCCGAGTAGTTTGCAGTTGGGTAACCAAGTGAAGATGCATCTGCGGCCGAGGAACGTGAAGAAGATGCAGACGAGGGGCTCTTAAAAGTTTGGTTTTAATTAAAGGAAATTTGCGTGCGTGGCACTTGATTTGTAGTTTTCTAGTGCTTCCGTGTGTGCGAGTGTGTGGGCGCTTTGCACTTCCCCAGCAGCCCCAGCAACCCCAAAACCCCATAAAAAATATAAATATAATTGAAAATTCTAAATTGCAATTGCCGCAAGTGCTCCTCCATTCGCAGATGCCGAGTTTCCGACTTGCCAAGATGCTGATGCCGATGGCGATGCCTATGCCGCTGCTGGGATGCTGAGATGCTGAGATGCTGCAAATGCGGGCCTTCCTTTTCTGCTCAGGTCTGGGCAATTTCTTGTACTTGTTCCCGCTCGTAATTAGAAGCAAATGCAAATTTACACTTTGAGTGTGTCGGTGATGACGGAAGTCATTGGTAAAACCTGAAACTGTGGGCGGGCAGAAAGTTTACTCTGCCGGTGGAATCCACTGGCTCCAACTGTTTGTCGCTGTGTAAGTGCAGATATAATGAGAAAAGTTTCAGGTAATACGAAGCCTCTGCGCAGGAAGAACCCCTTACTGTCGGTTAAATCTATTCCAGGGTTACCAATGTCCCCTGTACACCATTAGTAAATTAAAACAAAATGGATTTGGTAAGGGTAATGAGCACAGAACTAAAAAAAACGGATAAAAAGAATAGGTTCTTAAATAATAATTCACAATTGACTTGCATCTACTTAAAGTTCAAAAAAATATAACTTCTGACAATTTATTGTTTGAAATGCTTGTTTTAATTTTACAGTAAATTGTTTCTTTACCAGCTAAAAGTTAATTAACACATTATAAATCATATCTCATTTTAAACCCTTTTCCTATGAAATTATCGCATACATTTTTGTTACCGATGAACCCTACTTCTCCATTGAAGATAATTTCCATGCCAATCCATCTCGTTCTATACAAATGCACCTCATTCATGCCAAATTAATTACCGCAAAGCTATTAATCAACAAAAGGCGAGATAACCGACAGATAATCGCGTCGCAGCCCCCCAAGTGGGCGGCATGCCTGACGGGAGGGGGCGTCGCCCGAGGAAAGCGCCACGAAAAAGTTAATTTGGTGTATTAAAAGTAGCCACAGTAGTAGTAGTAGCAGTGGTAGTAGCAATAAGTTGTAATGACCACAGGACGATAGACATCAGGATGAAATCCTTTCAAGCGTGAAATGTCCGAAATGGAAATGGAATTACCATTCACAGAGTTTCCTCTCTTGACTTTTAACTGATGGGCAACAAGTGGAAATGAATGAATGGCTGGGGAAAAGTAATTAAAAACGCTCCTTGTCGGTCTGCCTATCTGTGGTGGATGAGACAAAACTTTTCCATATTTCAAATCGAGATTTGGAAACATTCGTAGGTCGCTGGTCGCTTGGTCGCCAGGCTGTGTTGTCAACGTTGGCTTATGAGCGGCATTCCGGTTGAACGCACTTTCCTC